CATATATTTAATTAGTGTCTGTTGATCACATAATTAATTCCAAATTAATTCTTGAACAATACTAATTAAATAATATGATTTCATAATAATATATTAGAACTTATAATATATTAATAAACCATATATATATCCTTTTCTCACAAAAGTCTATCCAAATCGTTCTGATGCCATCCAACCAAAATGGACCATGCCAAGTCGGGTCGAATACATACCATTAATAGTTATGGGTTTAGACATCTATTCCAACAGGTATTACTTCCAAAGGGTGGAGTTCGCTATGAATTTCTCTAATGCCCTCTTCCTCATCTATCTCCTCATCAGATCTCTCCTCCTCATAGTCTGTTTCTTGATATTCTTCGGGTCCTATACCTGGGTCTCCTCCTTGAACCACTTCTGGACCTTCACCAATCCACCCGTCGGCCACTAGGGCCTGGTAGTAGAGATCGCCTTGCTGAAACTCGGCCATGGTGTCTACGCAAGAATGGAGGTGTAAGAAGAGTGTAGAATGTGTACGTGCGACAGTTATATGATATCCTAAAATACTCCTATAGTATTTTATTTGTTTATGTTCGGTTCCTCAATCCTTTGGGTATTAGGTTGACAAGTTTCAGATTTGTTGTCCACCCTGATAACTCCCAAAGACATGTTGGTCGTATTTTGAATAAATATAGTTGATCAGGCTATATTTATCCCCAATACGATTACATAGCTGCTTGGGTTTAATCACGATGTCCAACTCCTCCAAAAACTTAAATTGTTTTCTTATCTTTGTTCATAGTGTTTTAGTCCCAAAGTATTTATAGTTGCATATATTGTATGATTAGATATGCCAGTTCACTATAAACATTGATCTGATAGCAATCTGTCACACCCCCGAACCGGGACGGCGGAAACGTCCGGGGGCGGGTGACTTCACCTTGTAATATCATCACAGTGTATATAAATGAATCAAAGACAACATCTTCACCATACATAAATTATACCAAACATCATAGTGTTACATCATTGTATTTGTTCATAGCAATACATCCAAAACATTAAGTATGGTGAGAAATAAAAAAAAACACCGCAAAAATCCTCATTCCTTATCGGCCAACCTGTTTTAATATGTTCCTGAGAATACAAGTCATTTTGAAAAGCGTCAACATATAAAAATGTTGGTGAGGTCATAAGCATGTTTGTATGAAAAGTTTTGTAGCAGTTTGTAAACACCAGAAAATCCGATATTTTCTGTAAAAGTAATTTGAGAGTTTTGTTTCAAATCTTGTATTAGAGCATGTGTGATTTTGTTTGATGGTGTATAAAGAAAGTTTCCCAGAAAATCCTATATTTTCTGTATAATGAAAAAATTTGGTCTTAACCCTAAGACCTGAGTCGTGAAAGTTTAAACGTGAAGGGTAACTGTATAGTTCGTACTTTGTATCATGAGTATAGTATGTGTATTCAGTAAATTTATTTGTTTGTCATTCTCTATGTGAGTCGCTATAACCATACTTGATATGACTGATATGCCTGTCATGACGTTCTTCAGACGTCGGTTACGGTAAGACATTTGTTACCCTAGACTTGCCTGTCTAGCTGTAGCGAGCAGCTCAGGTGTAGGGTGTCATCCCCGTATAGATCTATACACAAATTCTCACTCTCCCTTCAGGAGACTCTGGTTATAACTATAAGGCTTACAGTGTACGCTAGGTAGCTACGAATGAAAGTGTGTCTCACAAGAGCCTTAACTAAATTTACGCGAATGGTGTATACCATTATTTAACGTTATAAATAATGTTACAAAAGTGAATTTTTTCTACAAACTAATAGTTGTTTTTATCTAAAGTGTCAACATATTTGTTGTTATCGTGAATAACTTCCAGTTATCCCAAAGTATCGGGAATAATTCGAGTGTATCAGAATTCTCACTAGCGGCTCGATTGTTCTAGTATTGGTCATAAAAGGCCCAATTTGAATGTCATTATCACCATGGCCTAATAGGAATGTCAATGGGCTTATAAGGCCCAATTAGAGTAAAAATTACTATGTATGGCCCAATAAGTATGTAAATGGGCTTATAAGGCCCCATTTAGAGTAAACATGTCGTAACAAGTCCGTTTGTTATCAAATAATCATTTTAGCTCAAATAGTACCAAAAATGACATACAAGGCTCACCTTTATTAAAAATGACCATTTTGGCCCAACAAAACCGTAATTGACAATAAGGACCGACGTTTGCAAAAACATAAGGCCCATTTTTGTTAAAAATGACATTGTAGGCCCAATAAAACCGTGAGTTGTCAAATAAGGCCCATTTTTAGGAAAAATTACATTTTTGGCCCTTAAAAACGTGAGATGTCAAATAAAGCCCACTTTTATGAAAAACGACATTTTTGGCTCCTAAAACCGTGATTTGTCAAATAAATTCCAAGTTTATGAGAAAATACATTTTTGGCCCCTAGAAATGCGAGTTGTCAATTTAGGCCCATTAACAACGTAAATGATACTTAAAAGCCCATTTTGTTTATCTTTATTGTCAAGTGTGATCCTTTTGTATAGTTTCTTTAGTTTTCAAATAACTTTTGACATGTTTAATCTTTTTAAACATCATAAAAGTTACTTCAAGTAGATTTCTTACTAATATCACTAAATCTTGGATGAGATTTCGAAGTTGTGAGTGTTTAACATGTTTTTATGGCATATTCACACAACATAAATGAAAAATATACACATACATGCATAATACTAAGATTAACCACAAAACTAGCTTGTATTCCTCCCCAAAAGATAGTAAAACTCGAAAACAAGGGGGTATGAAGCTCACCTTGGTGTTAGATTGGTTTTGAAGAGAAAGGAAATATGATTTTCGGCCTAGCTTGCACCTTTGAGAAGAATTTCGAAACTTTGATGGTGCTAGGAAGTTTGAACACGATATGAAGTTATGTAAGGAAGCACTACAAGAAAAAGCTGAAATAACTACGAAAATTTGTTGCGGAAGTACAAACTATAGTTATTTTGCTATGGATTATGCTACAGAATGGCTTGTCATAGCTATTTTACTATGAAATTTGCTATAGAATTGCATTTTGTAGCTAATATTTGAATAACTACGGAATTTTGCTACGGTATTAAAAACCGTAGTTATTCTACTATGGACTATGCTACAGAATAGTTAGACGTAGGTATATTTTCTACAGAATTAGCTACATAATTATGTTATGTAGCTAATATTCGGATAACTACGAAATTTTGCTACGTAATTGCATTCCGTAGCTGGTGTGGTACAAAATTTGTTACCAAATTATAAGTTGTAGGTATTTTGCTACAAAATTTACTACGAATCTCAGTTTATAGCTATTTTCTTACAAAATTTGTTACGGAATCAAAATATGTAGCTATTTTGCTACAAAATTTGTTTCATAATCTAAGTCCATAGCTAATTTGCTACGACATTTATTACGGAATCAATATTCGTAGCTATGCTGCTACAAAATTTTCTATGGAATCAATGATCGCAGCTATATGCTATAAAATAAAAAAAAATCATAAATATTATGCAATGAAATTTTCCAATAAGCAATTTTAAGTGTCTAGAAGCTTCTCAAGTAAAGTTTAGACCCTTAAACGATCCCGAACGACCAATGAATAAGTCTCCAAGACTATATTCGATTGATTTTTAATCTGTGGAACATTAAAGACTAACACATTCTATTCGAGAACTGAAATTTTTTATATGTCTACATATGACTGTGATGTAGAAAATTGAAACCATTCTTGAATTTTGAGTTCTAGATTATAGCAGCAACCACGTTGCATTTGAGGTCAACAAGAACCGCCAAAACCTTATAAGAAAACAAGTTGTTGTTGTTGTTGGTGGTGGTAGTGGGCGGGTAGGGGGGGGGTATCATCCTGTTAGTTCGATTGTGGTCCTTCTCTATGTGTATTGGCCCCCGAATGAACCTCATAAGTCATACATCATTAACCTTAAGCCTTAAGCCCTAAACCATAAGTTAAGAGTCATAAGCCATAAGTCATAGGCCCTAATCCCAAAGCCTTAAGACATAGCTAAGCCCTATGTCGTAAGCCCTAAGCCATAAGCCCTAATCCTTAACCCCAAGCCATAAGCCTTAAGCACTACACCATAATCCATAAGAGCTAAGCCTTAAGCCACATGCCAACACTGTCGCTACCCCACCCCACACCTACTTACCCATCCAACTAACTCTACCCTGCACCCACACTCATCCCATACTCCGACTCTTACCCCATATACTTTGAGTTTATTCCAAGTTTAACTTTATATCTTTTGAGTTTATTTAGCTAGTTATTGTTATGGTTAAATGTGATAATTGTTTCAGATATATTTAAATTTTCACCACAAACTGATAATCATGCGCTTTTACAAGAAGTATCATATTCATTTTTGTGATAATGATATTATTGTTTATATAATTTTAAAAAGATTTTTTTTATAAGTTATTTGATAAATATGATTAATATAAAATATAATATAATTTTTTTCTATATTATTTTAAATATAAATATAGTTTAAAGTATTTTTTATAACTATTTTAGAAGAGGGACTCTTAATTACTATCCTTAAAAAACAGTTTCCCTATCTCCCACGATCAAAAGAAAAAAAAAAACCTAACACCATTAAACCTAAAACGACGGTCCTTCACAATCACAATTGATCGAATCTACTTACCTACTTCCTTCTTTCTCAATCTCTCAATCGATCGATTTCTTCAACCATCAAGCCTCTCACTACGACCGATCGATTCCTTCGACCATCAAGCCTCTAACTAGGACCGCTCACAACCAGCAACGTCGTGTACATCTAGACCTCCGCCTTAAGTATCTTCTATCGACGTGCACACCTTCCGCGTCCTCCATCCGCCCTCCAGTCTGTTCACCGCCGGTGTCAGCCCTAATTTTAGAGATTCACGTGGTCGGACCGCCTTCCATTAGACTTCACTTCATACCATGTTTTGACTTTTGATCCATTTTTAAGTCAATGATCAAAACGAGCATCATATTCTTGAATGTTTGTGATATGAGAAAGTGTGTTTTTTGCAGAGAAGAAACAGTGGTGGCACTAGTGAAATATGGTGCGTATGTTGGGGTGTTTGATGACCCAACACCTATGAATCCAGGTGGACAAATGGCTGCTGATCTGGGGAGTAAAGGGTATAAAGGGATTGTTGGATATTTGGCATAAATGATCTCACCACTCTTCTTTCAGCATTGTCAAGATTCAGGTAAAAGCGTGTTACTTTTTTGATGTTGTTAATTTAAGTGGGAATCTTATTTATCTGATTTTTTTAGGCACATTTTCGTGGGCATAAAGTTCGAAAGCATTATAAAAAAGTGGTGTGGTCTGTTGGGATAATGGAGAAAGCGATACTCAGTGGGTTGCGTGGATTCTGACGGGAATTGATAGCTCCGGAATCAGAATATGATTTCCTGAGAATAGGTCGGAAACAAAAATATGTTGGAGTGGAAAAGGCATTGGCTAGGGTGTATTCTTGTGGGGAGGTAATTTATATTGATATGTCTTTTTTTTCTGTCATATATACCGCTTGTTGCTTTATGTTGTTTATTATTTCATCGTTTTGATATTCCAATCTTTTTGGTGGTTTCCAGTGCTACTCTTAAGTCTTACCTCTAACAACAACCCCTTTTTTAGTTTGGTATTTCCTGTCAAATGTAATATCTGTGAATTTAATTCCAGTTAGAATTGTTTTTTAATGATTAGTTTCTTTTGTGAAATGGGCATTTGTCTATTTTTTTAATCTGATGTCAACACTTTTAATTAATTGCTTCAATCCATATAATGTGAGTTGGCATGTTTTAACAAAGTAGGATGCTATTTTGGCATATGTATTTTTCACTTGAGCAAAGGAACGTGTAGTTTAATCTTTAAAATTTGTCAATTTATTACATTCCTCTAATTTCTAGAAATTACCAAAGCATATCATGTAAGTTTCCATATTTGACAAAGTAGGATGCTATTATGTCATTTTTTGTTACTTTCAGAAAGGAACATGTAGCTTAATCTTTTGCAAATTTCATTTTATTACGTTCCTCTAATTTCAAGAACTTAACAAAGTATAACATGTAAGGTAGCATGTTTTGACAAATTATATAATTGAAACAGTAGGTTACATGTATGCAAGAAACAACAATGTACTTTCATTTATTTGAAAATACAATGCTATAATAGAAAACGAATTAAAAGGACCCTTCTATGTTTATTTTTCAAATTGATGGGTAGTATATGATGTCAAATTGCTTACAATTTTTTCTATATATCCCATTATTTTGCATTTTCTTCCCTCTTTATAGTGCAGTACATTTTTTTTTCTCAGGTTGGGGGTGGCAAAGATAGATACACAGTTGATGATATTGATGAAATTCGAAAAGAATGGTCTTCCTTTGTGGCAACCTTTATTTTTCGGTGATCTTTTGTACCAACAAACAATATTTTTGGTAACTAAGAAATGTTTGTTAGTATTTCACATAGTATTTCTACAATATTTTTGATAAATTGTTATTGCATTTACATAATGCTGATTTTGTTATAAATTTGCTTTGGAAATAAAATTAAGTCATTTTTGTATGTATTTGAACTAATCATGTCACCATTTTTGGCTATTGATATTTTTATGGAGTTACTACAAATGTTTTTATGTAGTATTATGTAGCTGGATTTCTATGGAATCTATTATGTCACATTTTTTCCGCAACGGAAGTAGGTCGTGGTATTTACTATGAAATATTTGCAACATAAGTGTATTGTAGTAAATTTGCTACGGAAATAAACCGTAGTAAATTTACTACGAAATATTTGATGCGGAATTATGTCATCGTAAATTCACTACGGAATATTTGCTATGCTATTATCGGTAGTGGATGTTCTATGGAAATTACTACGGGGTTAGTTTGTAGGTAACTTTCAACGGATTAACTACTGATCGGGTCGTAGTTAATTTGCTACAGACTTGCTATGGAAAAAATTGTAGTTAATTTGCTACGACATTGCTACAAGTATAGTTCATAGCTATTTTGCTACGGAATAAGTTTGTTGCAAATTTCGTTGCGAAGGTCGTACAAATTCCGTAACAAACCTTTACTAACGAATAATTTAGCTATAGAATGGTTCCGTAGCAAATTCCCTCTCTAATCATGTTTAACTATGGAATATCATGTTTTAACTACGAAATTTTTCGTAGTTATTTCGATTTTTTCTTGTAGTGAAGATTTCTTAGTGTAACATGGAATTAAAAGGATTGAATGCTAAATGAGTTACCAAAGATATAAAGCTTGAAGTGAACTTCTTGTTGCATACACTCAAAGCTCACGGTTTTGGAGCAAAAACCGAAGAGAGTTGTTTGAGTCTTTACGAGGAAACTAGATAGATGTGTGAGTTTTGGGATGAAAATGTGGAGAGGGATGGAGGGTCTCCGCCGAAGATGTGGAGGAGAGGGAGAGAGAAGAGATTAAGGGTATTACTTAATGGTTAATCACCATATTGCTTAGATATTTGAAGTGTAATGTGTATGTTTACATGCAAAATAATATTCAGGTGTCACAAATCCAGCCAATGCCACATTTTTCTCTTTTTTTTATATATATCGCCCCAAAGAGAATTAGAAGGAACAGTTTTGGGCTTGGGTGAAGGTTAACCGAGAATGCAATAGCCCATAAGGGATTTCCGGCCCAAGAAGGCCCATTTACAGGTTTGCGTCCTAAAAAAAGGCTAAATGGATGAGTTTTCGGCCCAATAGGGCCCATTAGGAGCTTTCGGCCTTGGGAGGCCCAATAAGAGCTCCAATATTAATTTATGGCCCATAAGGTTCAAAGAAAATGTTTACGGCCCAATATGGTTCATAGAAAATGTTTACGGCCCAATAAGGTTCAAAGGAAATGTTTACGGCCCAATAAGGCCCATTACATGAATTATAGCCCAAATCAGTGTTAAATGATCAATTCCAGTCCACTAGGGCCCAAATGTGGGCTCTTGGCCCCAAACGACCAATTTGAGAGATTTCTGGCCCATTAGGGCCCAATAAGAGTGCCCTATGTCACAACTAGCATTTTAGCTAGGAAAATTCTTTTGTCATGAAATCATTCAACTATTGTAAAGCATGTACTCTAAGTGAATATCAATCTATGCCTATTTAAATATATCGCTTATGTTCAATTAAGGATTGAAAACCCTAGAGATCCAGGTTCAAGTTCATTATGGACTAGGATTTCCTTATTGGGCCTAATGGAGCAATAAGCATTCGATTGAACTATATTGGGCTTAGAAACCCTATTGGGATTCTGTCACACCCCCAAACCAGAACGGCGGAAACGTTCGGGGGCGGAGGACGTCATGTTTAGTATCACAAGACATGAATCATAGAAATCAAAATAACAAACAACCATTTCATTAGAATGAAAGTGTTTACAAAGTATGTGGTTCACATAAGATAGACTACAAAAGTAAATAAAAAAATAAGACATGAAGCTACTATGATCCATCTTCTGAATCCCAGTGCGCGTACCTGTCTACTGGTTTCCTGAGAAATACAAATTATTTTGAAAGCGTAGATCAGCATTTAATCTGGTGAGTTCATAAGATTTTAGTGATGTAATGTAAGTGTAAGTTCTTTTAGAAAAGTTCGCTTGTTCCTCCAGAAAATCCTATACTTCTTGATATGATGAAAGATAAGTAAAAATGACTCTACAATCCTTTCTATGAGTACTAAACGGATACAAGTTATATAAACCTCAGAGTAAACAAACAATCGATTGTGTGTATCTGCCCTAAGCCCACAACCAAACAAGGAACAAGAAATGAGGCAGAAAGCACACACCCCATTGTTTGTTAGATCATCGTTGTATATAACCCTGACGTATTCACTTGGTACTCACGGAGTTAACCGTAATAGTTCCTTTATATTTGATGAAAACATTCTTTAAGAAAACCCTTATTTCTTTTAGTAAAAATGGTAACCACAATAGTTCCTTATATAATCACTTAATTTATACTAGCTATATATAATCTAATATCGAACGGATAGTTAATTGTGTGAATCCGCCCTAAGCCCACAACCAAACAAGGAACAAGAAGTAAGGCGGAAAGCACACATCCAACTACCTGTCGAGTATTAATTATATATAACCCTGATGTATAAACTAAGGTATTATAGAATTAACCAGCTAAGGTCCTTTAAGTTATACTAGTTTAATAAAATGGATTAAACCTTTACTGGTAAGTTTCTAGTTTAGTCTACTATATGTTCTTTCTGAAAAGTATGTTTTGTACTAGAAAACAATGTATTGAATTAGTGTACTATGACCTGACCCATACCTGGTACTCCTTATGATTACTTAGTGTATACGGAATATATATATATATATATATATATATATATATATATATATATATATATATATATAGCTAAGATCGAATAGATAGTAAGTTGGGTGAATGTGCTTTAAGCCCACAACCAAACAAGGAACATGAAATGAAGTGGAAAGCACACATCCTACCACCTGCCGGATCCGATTAATATACATCCCTGATGTTTAAACTAAGGAATCATAAAGTTAGCATTATAGGCCCCCTTCTAACTGAATGTACTGAGACTCGACTGTTTTGTTTGTCGCTTGTAATGATGTAAGTTTTCCGTAGTTTATAACTATCTTTACTCGATAATAGTTTGCATTACCTTTCAAGTGAGGATTTCACAATATGAAAGGAATGGGAAAATGAAAGTATGCAGTAGTCTTTTAAAATGACTACTGAAATATTGACTACGTTAAAACCAGTTTGTTTACTTAAGGTCATAATGTGATGTGGTTGTAACCATACTAATAACGCTCTCCCTCCAGGAGACTCTGGTTACAAAACTCGACTTAACAAACAAATTGCTAAGTCGTGAAGTAGTCTCACATTAAAGTTATCGTGTACTTGTTTTAGTATGTTCCTCCCTGAACTTGTTATAGTATGTTCTCTCTGTTCTAGTGTATAGTATGTCTCTCTGTTATAGTGTAGTATGCTCCTCCTTGTATTAGTTATAGTATGAACTGACGCCTAAACTATACCTACTATAGTTTACTAGTATCTTTACTTTGAACTGTTACTGACTTGAAGAAAAGACTCATTTATCTACTAATTTATGATTGTACTTTAAAAATGGAGTTTTATAAACTATAAAGTAACATAGCTTTAAAAGAGTTTTTGAATTGTTTTGATCACTTATTAACACATAAGCAATCCTTTAAAATGATGTTTATCACAAAACATTTACACAATTATCATTGTGTTCAACTTGTATTCCCCCCCCCCCCTTAAAAGCATTTAAAACATTTAAAAATTGATTATAGGGGTATGGACTCACCTTATGTGGGTGATTCAATTGCAGATTCGTGTAAGGGTGAGAAGTTCCACGAATGAACTCCCGAGACACAAACGACTCCTAAATGACATACAATGGCATAATATAGGCATGTAATTAGTGTTTAAAAGCAACTAACATGCAAGGAAACTACCTTAGGGACTAGGAAACACTTGAACTAAGTGTTAGAATCACATGTGATTGATCAAAGGGGGTTTACGTCCATGCTAGGGAGTGTACGGCCAAGGGGTGTACGGCCATGGAGTGTATGGTCGTACACTCATGGGTAAAACATGCTAAAGGGTTGTTTGATCCATGGGGAAGCTAGTATGACAATTGCACAACAAGTGGATGAACCAAGCTTTCACTTTGGAGGGACTTGAGGGGTGTATGGCCATGCAAGGGTGTACGGTCGTACACTCTTGTTGTTCGTGAAAAATGGTCGTTTATAAGGTGTAAATCAAGAGTTTCTAGTGTATACTAAGTATATGGAAAGGATACTTACGATTTGGAAGCTTGAAGAGGGTTCACGGCCACCAAGAACTAGTGTGTGTTCTTGGTGAAAGATGATGATCTTGAAGATCTACCCAAAAAGATGATTTTTATGGATGAAATCAAAGGGTGATACTAGATCAAGAAGGATAACAACTAATAGATGGAAGAATAACTTAGGTTTTTGAAGATCAAGGTGAAAAGCTTGATGATAGTTCAGAGAGAATTGGAAGTTCTTGAGTGTGAAGTGTAAGAAATGAGGAATAATGAAGGGATACCCTACATAAGGGCATGGGTTCACGACCATCATCGGTGTACGACCGTACACCCATGTGTACGGCCGTACACTCCTCTTGAATGAGTGTTTGGCTCGAATGTAACACGATGAACTTTAGTAACTCATTCCTATACCCAATCCTTGAACGTACAAGACTTAGAACACTCAAACAGACTCTAAACAATGATAGAAGATAGCAGAAACGAGTCTGACTCTCGATTGAATTGAATGACTGGACTTACAAGACAAAAATTTTCGGGTTGTCACAGATTCTAATTTGACCCAATTCAGAAATCTATAACATTTTGGAC